CGGGATACAAAATTAATACTTAGAAATCTGTTGCATTCCTATACACTAACAATGAACTAGCAGAAAGAGAAATCAGGAAAACAATCCCATTCACAATTGCATCTAAAGAAATAAAATACCTAGGAATAAACCTAACCAAGGAAGTGAAAGACCTATACCCCGAAAACTATAAGACATTCTTAAGAGAAATTAAAGAGGACACTAATAAATGGAAACTCATCCTATGCTCTTGGCTAGGAAGAATTAATATTGTCAAAATGGCCATGCTGCGTAAAGCAATCTACAGATTCAATGCAATCCTTATCAAAATACCTATAGCATTCTTCAATGAACTAGAGTAAATAGTTCAAAAATTCATATGGAACCACAAAAGACCCCGAATAGCCAAAGCAATCCTGAGAAGGAAGAATAAAGCAGGGAGAATTACGCTCCCTGACTTCAAGTTCTACTACAAAGCCACAGTAATCAAGATAATTTGGTACTGGCACAGGAACAGACCCATAGACCAGTGGAACAGAATAGAGAGCCCAGATATAAACCCAAACACATATGGTCAGTTAATATATGATAAAGGAGCCATGGATATACAATGGGGAAATGACAGCCTCTTCAACAGCTGGTGTTGGTAAAACTGGACAGCTACATGTAAGAGAATGAAACTGGATTATTGTCTAATCCCAAACACAAAAGTAAACTCAAAATGGATCAAAGACTTGAATGTAAGTCATGAAAGCATAAAACTCTTAGAAAAAAATATACGCAAAAATCTCTTGGACATAAACATGAGCAACTTCTTCATGAACATATCTTCCTGGGCAAGGGAAACAAAAGCAAAAATGAACAAGTGGGACTATATCAAACTAAAAAGCTTCTGTACAGTAAAGGACACCATCAGTAGAACAAAAAGATATCCTACAGTATGGGAGAATATATTCATAAATGACATATCCAATAGGGGTTTGACATCCAAATTATATAAAGAGCTCACATACCTCAACATACGAAAAGCAAATAATCCAATTAAAAAATGGGCATAGGAGCTGAACAGACACTTCTCCAAAGAAGAAATTCAGATGGCCAACAGATACATGAAAAGATGCTCCACAATACTAATCATCAGAGAAATGCAAATTGAAACCACAATGAGATATCACCTCACACCAGTTAGGATGGCCAACATCCAAAAGACAAACAACAAATGTTGGCGAGGATGTGGAGAAAGGGGAACCCTCCTACACTGCTAGTGGGACTGTAAACTAGTTCAACCATTGTGGAAAGCAGTATGGAGGTTCCTCAAAAAACTCAGAATAGAAATACCATTTGATCCAGGAATTCCACTTCTAGGAGTTTACCCTAAGAATGCAGCAGCCCAGTTTGAAAAAGACATGTGCACCCCTATGTTTATCGCAGCACTATTTACAATAGCCAAGAAATGGAAGCAACCTAAGTATTCATCAGTAGTTGAATGGATAAAGAAGATGTGGTACATATACACAATGGAATATTTTTCAGCCATAAGAAGAAAACAAATCCTACCATTTGCAACAACATGGATGGAGCTAGAGGGTATTATGCTCAGTGAAATAAGCCGGGCAGAGTAAGACAAGTACCAAATGATTTCTCTCATCTGTGGAGTATAAGAACAAAGAAAAAAACTGAAGGAACAGAACACCAGCAGACTCACAGAACCCAGGAATGGACTAACAGTTACCAAAGGGAAAGGGACTGGGGAGGATGGGTGGGAAGGGAGGGATATGGGGGAAAAAGGGGCATTATGATTAAAACACATAATGTAGCGATGGGGGGAACACGGGTAAGGCAGTATATACAGAGAAGACAAGTAATGATTCTATAGCATCTTCCTATGCTGATGGACAGTGACTGTAATGGGGTATGGGGTGGGGAGTTGATAATAGGGGGAGTCTAGTAACCATAATGTTAAGTAATTGTATATTAACAATATCAAAAAAAGACCACGCAACAAAATATTAGCACTGAATTCAAAAATACCTAAAAAAGATCATCCATCATGATCAACTGGGATTTATTCCACAGATGCAGGGATGGTACCATATTCGAATATCCATCAACATCATACACATCAACAAAAAAGAAGGATAAAAATCACATGATCATCTCCATAGATGCTGAAAGAGCATTCAACAAAATTCAACATCCATTCATGATAAAAACTCTCAACATAATGGGTATAGAGGGCAAGTACCTCAACATGATAAAGGCCATATATGACAAACCCACAGCCAACATCATATTTAACAGAAAAAGCTGAAAGCTTTTCCTTTAAGATTGGAAACAAGACAAGGATGCCCACTGTCTCCACTTTTATTCAACATAGTTCTGGAGGTCCTCGCCATGGCAATCAGACAACACAAAGCAATAAAAGGCACCCAGATTGGTAAGGAAGAAGTTAAAACTGTCACTGTTTGCAGATGACATGATATTATACATAAAATACCCCAAAGAATCCACCCTAAAACTACTAGAACTAATAGCTGAATTCAGGAAGTTTCAGGATTCAAAAGTAATACAGAGAAATCTGTTGTATTCCTATACACTAACGATGAACTAGCAGAAATAGAAATCAGGAAAACAATTCCATTTACAATTGCATCAAAAAGAATAAAATACCTAGGAATAAACCTAACAAAGGAGGTGAAAGACCTGTATCCTGAAAATTCCAAGACACTCATGAGAGAAATTAAAGAAGATACCAATAAATGGAAATACATCCCATGCTCTTGGATAGGAAAAATTACCATTGTCAAAATGGCCATCCTGCCTAAAGCAATCTACAGATTCAGTGCTATGTTGATGGACAGTGACTGTAATGGGGTATGTGAGGGGGACTTGGTGATGGAGGGAGTCTAGCAAACATAATGTACTTCATGTAACTATAGATTAATGATACCAAAAAAAAAAGAGTAATTAAAACCACTTTTTTTCTCTCCTGGTTCTTTTTTTCCTTTCTGCTCATCTTCATCCTTTCTCTCTTTTACTGATTCTTCTTTCTATTTCTGTCCCTTAAATATTGGTATTCCACATGGTTCCTCACCCCATTCACTGGTTAATCTCATTCTCTCCCTTACTCTGCTACTACTACTAGTACTACCACTATTACCACCACCACCACCACCACCGCTACTACCAACATTAACTACTCTTGACTTCCAGAACTAGGTCTCTAATTCTTGACCTCTCACATAAACACCTGAGCTCCAGGCTCCCCCTGGTAATTTCCCATACATAATATCTCTGCCCAGGAGCAGTATATCTAAAATTGAACTAAATTTCTGTCTTTTAATGTTTTTTTCCCTCTGCCTCCCCTAACTCACTTAACGTAATTGTCATCCACCAAGTCAGGTTAAACATTTTCAAGTTCCTATGTTTAAAAACCTTTTTCACAGAGGGTGATTCACTTTGTTTTTATAATGATTCACTCTGAAATGAGCTGATATTGACTCATTTAATTTATCTGACATTTTCCTGTCTTTTGGACAGGAAGAAATATTCCAAAAATAGGAATTTCTGGAATTTGAGGCTTTCTTTTTAAAGGCTTTTAATCTACAGGATAAGGGCCCAAACTCCTTCCTCCTCCCTGCCTTCCCAACTCCCTACATACACACACAACTCACATGCAACACACAGCTAATCCTTCGTTAAATCTGAATGCTTTTTTCATTCTTTTTCTGTTTTTTTGTCTTTCCTGCCAACTATTTGCACCTAAGTATTCCCCAAGGTTTAGTTTGCAACCTTCTAGTCTTCTCACTTTACTTCCTTACCTTTTCCTCACCCCATTCACTGGTTAATCTCATTCTCTCCCTTACTCTGCTACTACTACTAGTACTACCACTATTACCACCACCACCACCACCACCGCTACTACCAACATTAACTACTCTTGACTTCCAGAACTAGGTCTCTAATTCCTGACCTCTCACATAAACACCTGAGCTCCAGGCTCCCCCTGGTAATTTCCCATACATAATATCTCTGCCCAGGAGCAGTATATCTAAAATTGAACTAAATTTCTGTCTTTTAATGTTTTTTTCCCTCTGCCTCCCCTAACTCACTTAACGTAATTGTCATCCACCAAGTCAGGTTAAACATTTTCAAGTTCCTATGTTTAAAAACCTTTTTCACAGAGGGTGATTCACTTTGTTTTTATAATGATTCACTCTGAAATGAGCTGATATTGACTCATTTAATTTATCTGACATTTTCCTGTCTTTTGGACAGGAAGAAATATTCCAAAAATAGGAATTTCTGGAATTTGAGGCTTTCTTTTTAAAGGCTTTTAATCTACAGGATAAGGGCCCAAACTCCTTCCTCCTCCCTGCCTTCCCAACTCCCTACATACACACACAACTCACATACAACACACAGCTAATCCTTCGTTAAATCTGAATGCTTTTTTCATTCTTTTTCTGTTTTTTTGTCTTTCCTGCCAACTATTTGCACCTAAGTATTCCCCAAGGTTTAGTTTGCAACCTTCTAGTCTTCTCACTTTACTTCCTTACCTGGGTAATTTCACTGTTTTTCAGGGAGTCAATTACTATTGAAATGGTGATGATTTCTCCAAATCTATGTCTGTAAATATCGAAGGCCAACTTTCTTGAGCTTCAGAACCAAATTTCCAACTACCAGATGAATAGCTCTACTTGGATGGTATCTAAAGATTCACAGCCTTTAGAAATCTAAAACCTCCTTTCTAAAACATTATTTCATATTTCATTTATAAGTACATATGTTTTTTTTATTTATTTATTTATATTAAGGTATCATGTTTTATATATACATATTAAACCCCTAAATGCTGTCTATCTCTGAGTTCAGTTCATTCACAAAAATGACATTTCTGCTACCACTAAGTGAATCCTCATCAAAAGCCATTTAATCCCTAGGATACTTTTCCCTAATATTTACTCAACACAGCAACATGATACTGACTGCTTTTCTCTTTAGGTCTCACTCAGACTCACCTTATAGCAGTCATTAGCAATGAGCTGTAAGAGGCTAAAGGACTCGCCAGAGGTTTCCATCTTGAGGTAAAGTTCCCAGGCTAGTCTTGGTTTCTTATTCATGATATCTACAAAAAGAAGCAAATATTTATGCTTTTTTAATTCTATGGATTTGGTTCTATGTTCCAAATATACAAAGTAATGGTAAACAGCTCTTACATGGACAGCTTGCAATATTAGCATTCAAGTGGTTCCCTATCAGAACTCTACAATATTTAAAATATTTAAGCTAAGATTTGTATAATTATGTATTTTTAGAGTGGATTGACTCCCATTTTGCTCATCTGCTTAGAAGTCACCGATCATTCAGTAAATACTACTCACAGTTTCAGCCTACTTAGAATGTCAGATTGCTAAAATTTTCCCATGACTTCAAAAACTCTGAACATTTTAAATTCAAGTGAACAAAAGGGAGCAAGAAAAGATAACGGAGAGAAAGACAGACAGTCAGAAGAGACTATGGGCTATGTAATATACAAAAATTATGTTTTTGACATTTTACCACTTTTCAGGCCTGTACCTGGTGGAAAGGTAGGATTAACCTAACAATATCATTTAATACTGTGGAAACAATAAAGGGCTAAAGGAAGAACTTGGCATTTTTCAGGACTGTTCTGACTAGGTCAGTGTTGTATAATACATGTAGATGACCACCCTTTCCAAGCAGCATTAATAACACTTAATTTCAGTGTTTATACATTCCACAAACTATATAATGCTCAATGTAATTTCCATTCAGAAGATTATGCAACAGAGAAGAAAAAGAGGATGCCACTGTAACATTTAAAAGAAGACTCACAGAAATCTTCTGCATCCGTGGATGTTTTGCTGCCCTTGTCTAGCTTGGATTAATACTTAGTCCATAGGCACACACCTGATCATCTACATTTGCCCTCTTACAGCACTAAACTATGTTTTCTACCTTTATCTTGCATCTACCTACCACTTCAGCATTTTATTAAAAATAA